TGGTTTCTATGTCGAGGGAACAACGTATGTGTGTCCTTAAGAATTGAGCGTAGAATTTGAAATCGTTTTTAAGAGTGATTATGGTAAAATTGTATGTTTACATGTATTAAAAATGTGTAATCAGTTGTAGTAGTAATAGTAGTAGTTGAAGTAGTAGTAGTAGTTGTTAATAGTAGCAGTAGCAGCAGTAGTAGTTGTTAGTAGTAGCAGTAACAGCAGCAGTAGTAGTAGTAGTAGTAGTAGTAGTAGTAGTAGTAGTTGTTGTTTGTTGTTCAGCGCCGCACTCAGCAATAATGACGACTCTCTGTAAATAATCGAGCCTGGACCAGACAATCCAGTGACTGACATCATGAGTAGCAATAGTAGTAGTAGTAGTAGTAGTTGTAGTAGCAGTAGCAGCAGTCGTAGTAGTAGTAGCACTAGTAGCAGCAGCATTAGTAGTAGTAGTAGTAGTAGCAGTAGTAGTTGTAGAAGTAGTAGAAGTAGTAGTAGTAGCTGAAGAGGTAGGAGTTGTAGGCGTGTTGACAGCAGAGGGAATAACAGTAGAAACACAGTACGTTGATGTCAGTAACAACAGCACCAAGCAGCGTTCGTAGATGACGTAGTGGTGGCGGTAGTAGCACTAGTTGTAAGTAGGTGGTAGTCGTGATGGGGATGTGTGGGAATGAATGAGTGGGTATGGTTTTACGCCGCTTTTAGCAATATTATAATAAAATACAAATAATGATAATAATAATAATGACGTTGTTTGTACCGCGCTTAACTCCATACAACTTATGCTCAAATCAATGCACAATCTTTAATCAAAACCCCAGAAGAGGTAAGTTATGAGAGACGCTTGGGCGATTGTAGTGGTGGTGGTGGTGATGGAGATTGTTGTAGGGCTTGTAGTTTTGATGTTGATGGTGGTGGTGGTTGGGGTGGTGTTTATAGGGGTTGTAGTGGTGGTGAAGGTGATGATGGTAGAGATTGTGGTGGTGATGGTGGTGGTGGTGAAGATTATGGTAGGGATTGTTTTGGTGTTGATGTTGGTGGTGTTGGTGGTGGTGGTGGTGGTGGTAGTGGTGGTGGTTGTGGAGGTGGTTGTGGTAGTGGTTGTGGAGGTGGTGGTGGTGGTGTAGGTGATGGTTGTGGGGATTGTGGTGTGGTGGTGGTGGTGGTGGTTGTGGGGATTGTGGTGGTAGTGGCGGTGGTAGTGGGGATTGTGGTGGTAGTGGGGATTGTGGTGGTGGTGGTGGTAGTGGTTGTGGGGATTATGGTGTGGTGGTTGTGGTTGTGCGGATTGTGGTGTGGTGGTGGTGATGGTGGGGATTGTGGTGGTAGTGGCGGTGGTAGTGGTAGTGGTGGTGGTGGTTGTGGGGATTATGGTGTGGTATAGGTGGTGGTGATTATGGTGGTGGTGGTGATTGTGGTGGTGGTGGGGATTATGGTGATAGTGGTGTAGGTGATGGTAGTGGTGGTTGTGGGGATTGTGGTGTGGTGGTGGTGGTGGTTGTGGTGATGGTGGTGATGGTGGTGGTGGTGGTAGTGGTGGTGGTGGAGGTGGGGATTATGGTGGTAGTGGTAGTTGTGGGCATTGTGGTGTGGTGGTGGTGTTTGTTGTAGTGGTGGTAGTGGTGGTTTTGGTGGTAGTGGTGGTGGTGGTGGTGGTGGTGGTGGTGGTGGTGGTTGTGGGTCTATAGCTGGCAGTCGTGATGGTTGTGCTTGGAGCGGTTGTTGGGTTCTGTAGTGATGGTTGTGGTTGTGGTGGCAGATGTATATGTTGTATCTTTATACGATGTAGTGGCAAATATACATGTAGTTAATAAGAGTTCTTGCTCTCAGTTAAACGACAAGTACGTGTATGACAACAGGCGTTGTCATTGAACTGCCCCAAGTGTACTCAACATGCAACGTCAAACGTGGCTATATGCCATATTTTAGTTTTATTTTGCTCATTTAGACACGGAATTATTCGATGACAAAGAACATCGAAAACCTAAGCGATGATTGTCGAAACCATTGCCATCTCCTTGTGCAAAGCCAATACATGTTGTCATACTAATCTTACTTTATGAAGGAATTTTAATTATGAATATTAATTGTATTATTATATTTTGAGTAGAAAGAATATAAAATTAATAATATGAAGTATTTTCTCATTTTAAGTTTGTTTGATATAGATATATATATTTTCAAGAACTGACCCACTATCCTAACAAAACAATTAAACCCCATGACTTATGAATCCAGACTATTTTAATCACGTTGTCAACCGTCCAAAATTTACGTTACTGCACAGATGAATTTTCGAAAAATTAACATTTATAAAGATGTTCGTTCACGGTTGTAAATAAACCACAATTTCACCGAGCATGTTGATAGTGTATATTCTGAAAATATATGTTCGGGGTACAAATTATTATAAACGTGCCGGATTTTCAAAATATTTATTTTTTATGCTCGTACAATGCAAATATCTCAAATAAATACAAAGTAGAAAAATTACACCACTGTCTTTAAGATTTGTTGTTAAATGGGGTAAAGCCCGATTTTTATCTTAAAGAAAGATTTACACTTGACATTCCGTTATGCTATATTTATTTTAAATATGTTTCGTTGAGGTATTGATTTACGCACAATTACCTGGTGTTTTTTTGTTTTTCTGAGTTCCACAGTAAATTAAATCAATATTTGTAATAAAACTTTAGGAAAGCTAAATGCAGTTAAATATCGCCTCTTTAACGTTACATCAAAGGCTAGACACTCTGCTGGGTGTGTATTACATGACTTTAATATCGTTTACAATGATCAATGTACAACAGTATATCACCAGGGCAAGCATCCCACTAGTTATAACTAGAATGGAAAACAATTTCATCTCACCAGCGTCGATCGATGAAAATGATATGATATAATCAGGAGGGTAATGTGTACTATTTTTTATTTTTTCTATTTTAGTTTTCCTTTATCTTTTCTTCTATTTTTTAATTTATTATTTTTTTCTTCCTCTTTTTTTTTTTTGGGGGGGGGGGGGGGGGGGGGCATGTACTAATTTAAAAATAATAAGCTATATTGTTTTCACAGGTGTGACTATTATTAAATGGTGCGTGATTTGTATCAATTCAGTCTTAAGTTTATACACGAGATCTATATCTTTTACATGAGAATATATGAAGAAATACAGATAAAATGGTGTTTCTCGTGATATGATCAGAGCAGGGGGGGACAATGGTAAATTGGGTGTTACGTTGGTTGTGTTTTATTGCGAGCTGAAATGATTTTTTATTGCATGTAAGACGACACATTAACCTTCTCTAGGGGTGGGGGCGGGGGTGGGGTGGTAACAATGTTCCGTTGTTCCGTCCCCCCTGAGACCACAGTCTCAAATCAGAACGTGATTTTGGAAATTAGTGATTCATCACCATGAATTTGCAACGCAGATTCTTCATAAAACGATTAAAAACACATTTTGTTTAATTGCATAGAGCAATTGTACATGTTCTCGCTTGAGAGGAGAGACGCTGTAAAGTGATAGGTTCTAGGTTGTGGGTGCGCACGCAGAGATTGAATGCCTTGAGTGACAGGATCAATTACACAAATAGAAAGTAATCAATATGTTCCTGATCAGAGATGGGATCACGTGATCGTCAATCTATAAATCTGTGATGCACGAGGAGTGAGAGAGGATGTAAATACCGCGTACTACAAATATATCGTTTCACAAAAAAATTCATCTTCACAAGATGTATCTCAGTTTAACCACATTCACACGTGGGAGACTATGCCTTGGGTTGTTGTACCAATATATCAACGGATATTTTATCACTGATTTTGCTCCATTTACTAAATGAAACCTTTTATTAATATTGCATTAAATTTAACATGTCCTTAAATGGTATTCAAGTTCATGTGAATACTGGTATTGTTAAGTTATGACAAGTAAGTACATGCCATGGGAATTATGCTAAAAAAATTCAAATATACAAAAATTTGAATAATTGTGAGGAGTTTCAAAAAACACATTGTTGTCTAATCTACAATTATTGATAATTGGACAACGCACGACAAGCACGTTATTTCAGTATACAATAATATAATGCATATTTTATATTATTTATATATTGATAACTACACCTGCGTGTATACATAGAAAGACAAATTAGGAGGAGACGGCAATTGTCCCTACTGACACGATAATATCATTGTGAAAATTTCAACATCAGACAATTTGGGATTAGGGAGATTACATGGGACTAGCGCCACAATACACAGATATATAGTGATAGATAAAGTGGTCATTTAGATTGTTATCTCAGGGAGTTCGGAATGTTCTTTCAATTTGTATATAGTTTAAGGTTGTCAAGAGATACGTATTCGTGTGGGTTTATATGGGATCAGCTTACACGAGGGGGTATCGGGTTCCAAATTGATTCAATTATCGTTATGAATATGGCTTCATAAATAAACTAAATATGACTCATAACCATTGACGTGTTTGATAATTAAAATGAAATGATGCGTGTGCCACTGATTTAATATATATTTGCTAATACGATTGTATTTTAATTTGTTGGTATTTTGTACGAACGAGTTCTAATGAATTGATGTTTTTCAGCAACCATTAAGCAATATAATTATAAGAGAAAGCTATAATTCATTGTTTACCAATTACAGTGTACTTAAGGGTAAAATATAAATAGGGCAACAGATATGAACACGTACTTTGTTGACAAAAGACAAACAGGAAAAAAACAAGCGTATCAAAGGACCTTAAAATTCTCATTGATTCTATAAAGAAATCTCATGTTATATCATTAATACTTCAGTTTCAAAGATGACATAGAATATACAGTGCATTATCAATTACTTTATATTGTCAATTTGAAAAGTGATAAAATTTAAAAGATGACATTTTTTACTAATTATTTATGAACGTTAAACAATGTTTAATATTAATAATTTTATATAATTTTATATATTTAATACTGACGCGATTCTGATCTTCATAAAATCTATACCTGATTTCTTCTCTTCGGAAATCCTCTCTGTTACCAACCCAGCATCGGCGAACCCCCTCAGCATGTCTTGGGTATGGCTGGGGAAGGGGTGTCCACCCTCGCTACCCCGCAAGCCAAGCAAGGCATCGATGCTGTGGAAACTTCTCGTCGTGGCACTCATTGATAGTCCGGGTTCGAATCTCACTTCCAGTAAAGACTTGAAATCATATATCCTTAACAAGTCTGTTACCTAATGCTACGTCTTCCTTCTTGAAGAAGCTCAAACGTTGGTGAATAGATCAATGTGTGTCTTTAAACAATTCATATAATAGCTGTAAAAGTTAGAAACTGTTTCATATCGGAGTTCCCAGTCGGACTTCAACACGATCTTGTCAACCACCTCGCTAGTCTAAATGCTAACTAAATTAGTCCTCTACGAGCACGGCACAGGTAGCGGTTGTACCTCTTCACCTGAAACCTGAACAGCAGTGAGTCGCTATCTCCAACACTGTCAGGGCCTAATGCACTGTCCGAGACTGATACAGTCCTACTGTTGGCTTCATAAAGTAACCTAACCCTTCATTGTTAATATTTCAAATGAGTTTAAGCTAATCCTTAGAGCTCGTCAGGAGCGATGACAGTGGTTTTACCCGAGGGCTTCCCTACCCCGTGGAGAGGCATGAACACTCGCTGACAATACGCGTCGTTGGTAACAAGATGGGCGGGGCCCAGGAAATTAATTGCGGATAAATAAGCTGTGGAGGAACCAATCCCGATTCAGCTCGAGTATCTTGGCTCTCAACATGCAAACACGAATGAGTAATCTACCACAAACACGTCAGCCTGCAGCTACATAGCCGACAACATCATCACTACGACCGTGACAGAGGTACAATAGCAGGATACTAGAGGGCGCTGCAGTCTGCGTGCGGCGCGCGAGCTGTGACGTGGAGAACGGCGTTAACGTGACAACTAACGTCACCCGGAAACCAACTTGTCGCGGCTAAAATTAGATTAAGATCACCCTGCTTATTATTGCACGAACACGCGTGGACTTTTTAAAGTTGAGGACACAAAAATGTGAATAAATTGGACGGGCGAAACAGTACTCTTTCAAACGCCAGCAAAATGGCGTCAGATAATTGGAGCACGTTCTTTGACGTTAGCCTCCATCCCGACGAAACTTGAAATGATTGGCAAACGTCTGACTATCAGGATCCTGCCAGGTGCATCGCTCTGTTATTGTGCTGCCTCTGTCCCTGATAATTCACATTCTTTAAAAAACTAAACATTCAAAGAGAATGGTGAGACAAAACAATCATACGTTTCCGATTATTTGCCGTCAACGGTTGAATTATCCATAATCGTTTAAATCTCAGGACAGATAAATTAGACATGGTATGAACGCTGAGAATTGATAACGTATCACCATGGATGTTTGTTTTTAATAAATGTATACCGAAGCCAATGTAACATTTGACCTAACATTTGGAATTGTTTTGTCATTATTGTTGTATTCAACCTTGGTCTAAATTGTAGGCTATGGTGTAGGCATCATGCTTATAGCATCTTTAAGGCAGATATCATATGACAAAGCGTGGTTACATTTTGTATTTGAGACTTGGATGCTGATCGTTTAATCTTATCGAATAGCCTATGTTGAATATTGTTACAGCTGATACAGTCACGAGTGGAAATCGTGTGTCATGAGACAAGGTTAATAAAAATGTAGTTTCTATTAAATATATATTGTTATTACAGTGTAGTGGCACATTGTCGTGAATGAATGAATGAATGAATGAACGAATGAATGAATTTGTTTGCTTTGTTTGTCTGTTATTTAACGCCGGGCTCAGCAATATTCCAGTTTCATGACGACGGTCTGTAAATAATCGAGTCTGGACCAGACAATCCAGTGATTGACATCATGAGCAATTGGGATACGATGACATGCATCAACCAAGTTACCGAGCCTGACCACCCGATCCCGTTAGAAGCCTCTTACGACAAGCATGGTCCTTGAAGACCTATTCTAACCCTGATTTTCACGGGTGGAATGAAGGAAGGAAGGAAGGAATAGAACGAACGAACGAACACACGGTCGAACGAACGCTGCACAAATATATAAAATAAATAAATACTTTCAACAATAATGACAGTGATGCCTTTAAACATTAACCCGATGGTTGTGGTACGACTTGGCCACATACACTCGATGCATTTTCCAAGTGGCAATAGATCGAAGTTGAAGGCTACTTTATCAAATCACGTCATGTGTTGCGGCCTTCCTGCCTGGTCTAATGAATAATATCAACGTGACAATGTTCGCGTACAGGATTCAATCAAACATCTGTGTAATTTCCACTCAGGAGGATCTCTATTCACACTATTCACTAATTCGCTGTCAAAACGATAAAAAGGCCCTCCCAGCGTTCTTTTACGAGCACCCTTTCTTCACGAGAAACACGGTCTCTGCTCCACTGGAAAACCTAATTCGGTGCCATGGACATTCCTAAGATGTTTTCAAAGACAACATTGAATAGACTTATTTATCACAGTTTAATGTCATTGGAAAAGAAATAGTAATAGATCCCGGTAAAACTAGTTGTGTTACCGTGAGGCATTCATTCACTCACCCACTCACTCACTCACTCACTCACTCATTCAGAATGACACCATACACTTTAAACACAAATCATCACATCCCTAACGACGCAATCACATACTCGGTTTTATCACGATGGTGTCATACACATTAACACAAAGCGTCAAGGCAACTCGTAAAAATTTATTTTTCTTTATTTTTAAATTGTATTCATTCGACAAAATGTAGTCAAGCATCAAGCATATACACGCCTTAACACATCTTGGTGACACAGTTAACGCCCAAATTAAATTTCAATAATCACTATAATGACAATTGAATATTCTTGAGACATCGTTTGTACGTTATGCTTTAAGCGTGTTAAATCCCGTGTAGTTTGCAAATATAGAAGTACAAAGCATTGTCAGATATACCTGCATGAGATGCGTGTATATACCAGACAGAAATACTATGGGATATACTAGTACATAACGCGCCACAATGTTTCAGGTCAGAACTAACCAAATTATATAAATATTTTCCAGGAAGGTAATCAACGGTTATGATAAATGAATTATTAGTGAAAAAAAAACATATTATTTTAATTAACATTAAGAAATTAATATAAATTATCGAAATGTGTGGAATAACGATTAAGCTAATCACGTGTATGTAGAATATTTACATAATGCACCAACTGTTCGAGCCTGTATCGCCTTCACATAATGGCAATAAGCTTCACAAGAGCTCCGATAAATAGCAAAACTTTCAAACTCTGTTACTTTATGCAAATATCTCTGAACATGTATCAGATTAATTTTAAGGACTTCATGTAATGGTATTCTTGTATTTCATGATGAAAAATGTTTACTTTATGTAGAATAGGAATCATAATATATTCCTAACTGATCAAGGCCACAGCATTTTCCAGAATGAACTCTTTAAAAAGATTTATATGACTTCAATTCAATATATCGTCCTTTTTATGAACTAGAACGTCGAACTTCGACATAATACTGACATAAACCGAGGAGCAAAATAAATATCTTAAGTTAGTGATAACATATCCAAAATTTGAACTGCTTAGTCATATTTTATATTAGTTATATTTTTTAATATATTTTGATGTAAAACGTTAAAACGTTTTAAAAATCAAAAACAAATTTGCATAATACACAATTGCTAATGGTTATCTTAAACGTCTTAAATTGGAAAATCAATAAATATATTTCGGCACGAATTTACATGTAAAACGTGTTAGAGTTCCTGTGGTTTAAACTTATATTTTACCCCAGTCTTCAATGAATCCACTGATCTCTACACAGCATCTCTACACTAGTAAAACGTTTACAAACTGCTGCAACAATGAGTGATGTTACATAGACATGATCTAATTTAATCATGTTATGTTAATCTAGTTCTTTCAATTTTCAATTACATAAAACCCACACTCGGTTTACTTTCTATTGCCCCTCGGTTTCCTCAAGTAACGATAGTGCATCTTCATCAGCTCTTCGATTTTGCCTCTGAATCAAATGTAATGGAATTTTACTTGTATGTGTGTCACATTAGCTGGTAAAATTTGATTGAAGGCATCCGAATTAATATATTTGTCAAGGTACTTATATACCAGTCAGTATATAGTTAATGCTGTCACTACAGCACTTCTCTACGAGTCTCTTGATTTGTTAACTTGTCAATATCAACATTTCTACACTAGTTAATAAATGTTTAATACCGGTCTGTGAATGTTTTATCTAGTTATTATCCGTTTTTATGCTTGTTCGTAACTGTTTTATGAAGATAGCATAAGCAGTCACTAATCATTAATGTTTTATCTTGATAATATCTCTTTAACATACTTGTCAGTTATTGGTCAATCTTGAAAATATACGCACTACATACTAATATCCTAATATTGATCATATATTCACTACACACAATTTGGTGATTATTTTATCCTTTTAAGAAACAGATAAACAGGGCATGTACATAAACAGGCTTTTGATATGAAGAATAACATGTTTCGGCAAATTCGAGACAGCAAGGTCACACTATACGAAGAATAACATGTTTCGGCAAATTCGAGATAGCAAGGTCACACTATATGAAGATTAACATGTTTCAGCAAATTCGAGACAGCAAGGTCACGCTATATGAAGAATAACATGTTTCGGCAAATTCGAGATAGCAAGGTCACACTATATGAAGAAAAACATGTTTCGGCAAATTCGAGATAGCAAGGTCACACTATATGAAGAAAAACATGTTTCAGCAAATTCGAGATAGCAAGGTCACACTTACAAAAGCGATAAATTAAAACCCTTTCTATAATCATAATGTATATCACAAAGCAGAGTCTATTACACGAGTCCGACAAAATCGTGGGCATAGTGATGATACCACGTGTTCCCGAAAAGGTGAGCGTGTTCAACCTGTGGCACTCGTCAAAAACACACGCAAAGGCAAGACAAGTGTTCACCTGAACAAACACGGGAACATATGGTCCTGGGCATATTTGTTGTCACTGATGCGTCAAATATGGAAAGGTCCTCCACAGGTCTTCCATAAAAGTTTTTGAAATCTTTACTAAAGCCTAAAATATTGTAACCCTGATGAAATCTTTTCAGCAATGGTCGTATGACGGGCTTTAAAATTTTCGTACAGCATGCTCGATTGTACCTTAAAAGTTGTGACATGAAAACACCAAAAGCTTGTGTTGCTGGGATATTGTTCGACAGACAGGAAAATGTAATTGTTGGAAAATTGAAGTCACCCCTCTTGTCATACAATCTTGTGGATAGTTTGTTCTCATTCTGAATATTTATGCATACATGTAGATTTAAATATGAAACAGATGAGGCGTTTCACTGATCTGTTTTATTTCTTTCTCAGGTGAGTAAATCAGTGGAAGGAAATTGGCTCGTTAACAATTTTTAAACGATATCAGTTCATCGACATACTTCAAGCTTAAGTTGAACTTGTATTCCCGTGATGTGGCTTTGCCAATCCATGCAGACATTCTGTTTCAATACAATATAGAAACAGAGTGGGCGTCAAGGAGGCATAAGTGGTGCCCATGGGGATGCCTACTTCTTGTCTAAATGTCTTATCCCTAAATTTCAGATTGGTGTTATCAACGAGTCCAACATTTCACAGAATGTTTTCTCAGTAAACTTCAGATGACATTTGCTTTCATTTTTGACAAATTGTCCTGAACCTTTGGCGATAGAGATGTAACTGTGGTCACCACGGTTAGTGACATATGCCCTTAGATCAAGAAATTAAATGTTGTCGTG